ACTGATGTCTGCGGGGCACCTGGCTGGCTGGCGCGCTGCCAGAGGGCAGGGGCTTGATTGCAGCCCGGCGGGGCGGAGACCCGCGGCCCAGAAAGGAGCAGCAGCTGTCGGGGCTGGGCACTGGTCGGGCAGAACCTGCAGCCCGGCACTGTGCACACGGGCCCGAGGAGGAGGCCAGATCTCAGACTGGGGCTGGACACCCACTGAGTTAACTGGTGCCAACTGCGAGGCGCGGGCATGGCTGCAGGGGAGGTCACCGTTAAAGTAATTCGTGCCTTCAACGGGGAACCCTAGCCCTGTTACTAAGAGGTGGCTGGGCACTGGTCGGGCAGAACCTGCAGCCCGGCACTGTGCACACGGGCCCGAGGAGGAGGCCAGATCTCAGACTGGGGCTGGACACCCACTGAGTTAACTGGTGCCAACTGCGAGGCGCGGGCATGGCTGCAGGGGAGGTCACCGTTAAAGTAATTCGTGCCTTCAACGGGGAACCCTAGCCCTGTTACTAAGAGGTGGGGCTGCCCCTTTAAGACCCCCAAGCACCAGGAAGGTAGGGGTTAATAGCCCAACCACCTGGCGGTCAGCTGACCGGAAGGAGGCGGGGCGCTGGGCACAAACCCCAGGGCTGGGGGTAGGGAGTTATTTCTGGCAGCAGCCAAGCGGGGAGGGCCTGTCTGGTAGGAAGCAAACTGGCGATGCCAGACCCCCTGTCCTGCTGCTGGTCGGAGCGGGGCTGTAGGAGCTCATGGGTATTGGGGTGGCCCAGTGAACTGAGACAAGCTTGGTTTCCTAAAAGGGTTAGGGTGTAGCATGTGGGGGGGGGGGGTATATTTGGTCCTGGAACGCAGGAGACCAGGGTTCAGGAGGACCCCACAGCCTGAGAGCGTGTGAGGGCTGCCTTTGGGCCCCAGAACAACCTCCCTTTTCACCAGTCAAGCAATTGCACGTAGGCACAGCAGATGAAGGGGATCCAGGAGTAGTTTGGCCACCGGGGTTGTCACAGCAGCCTAATGCTGTGACACCCAGCCCTGGAGGAAGTGCAGAGGCAGTCGGTGCGGGCTGACCCTGAGAGTGCTGAGATGAGACTCTCGGCAACAGAAAGAGGCAGAAAAAATACTATTGAGAGCCAGGACTCCTGGGTCTTCTGTCCAGGCTGGGCGTGGGGGGTCAGAGCAGCCGTGCTCAGAGTGAGGGAGAAGGACAGAGGGGCCAGGTGGGACCAAGGGCTCCCGGCAGGCTGGGCTGGGGCTCGGGTGCTCCATAGCAGGGTCAGAGCTGGGCTGGCTCCACACTGCCACGGGTGAAGGTTTCACATGCCTGGTGGGCATCTGGAGGTCAAGTGCCAAGCCAGGGCATCCTGGCGCACACGGGCATGGTTGGGAATACAGCTGTGATTGCTCTGTGCCTCAGTTTGTCCCTGTAAATGCCATTGCGTGCCTCATGCACATAACCAATGGTGTGAGGCCAGAGTTTGTTGTGGGTACCAGCACAACAGGGGCCCTGACCCAGCTGGGTCTGTGTAACCCCCAGTACAAGAGGGGGCTGGTCTCAGCTGCAGGCATAAGCTACAGCTCTCCTGTCTCTAGGTGATGAGGATTAGAAGGTGGTGCTAGGGCTTTGGGGCAGGGGTGGGGCTTTGGGATATTGGAAGATGGGAAGGGGGACTTGTACCCTGTAAGTGCTTCCCCAAGTAAACGGGGGTAGGGCAGGCTGTGACACTGCTGTCATCCTGTCCCGTTCTCTTCTCCATCACACGCACACACTTTCACCCAAAGTGAAGGTCCTGGTCCACATGGCTCTGAGGCTGCACCCTTTCCCCCCTTCCTCCCTCAAGTTCACCCAGCTTATTAGCTACAGCTGCAAAAGGCTCCTCATCTGCTTCATCCTGGTGCCCATTATACAGCACAGGCACTGCACTCCCATGCCTCTGCCTCTGCTGGCCCTAGGGACCACTGTGCAGCACAGTGTTGTCATGCTCAGTGCTGGCTTTATTTCATCAACTTCATCCTTGGTTCTTGTTGCTAAGCACAGGCTGCTTTTAGCAGTAATTCAAAGGTGGGTCATGTGTTTCATGAGTTGTCTTTGTAAGCAACTGTAAGGCAAGGGTCTTTTTCCCCATGTTTGAGGGAAAGAAACTGTTTTATGTTTGAGTAAATGCAGTAATAGTTACGAGCATTTTGAAAGGCATTGTTGCAGTGGGAGATATGGAGCTTCCTAAATATCTAGGAAGGGGGCTATACCCTTTACTAAATATCTCCCTCCCTAGATATGTAGGCAGGGAGATGCTTCCCATCTTGAAACCTCCCTCTGCATATCTAGGGAGGAAGATCTGTTCTTACCTTGGGAGCCATCTCTCAAGGTATCTTTATCTTCTCCATCAAGCCTAGGCCCTGGGCAGATGTAACACTTGCTTCAAAAGTACCAAATGCTTCTAAGGTGAGTGAGCAGACACGCATGCCCTAAGAAGCCCTCCAGAAATGGTCACAGTGCTTCAAAAAAATGAGCCTGGCTTAAACTACTTGTTAGCATTTGGTTGTTGAAGCACTTCCAGTCATGTCTACATGCTGTACAATGTGCGCTTGGGTCTCAGGCACCGATGGGTGCTTGGCGCATGCACGCACATGGGATTGGGGCAGGACAAAGGGAAGATTGGGGTGGGCAGCCAAGCGGGGGGTCCCCAGTGTGTCTGGCTGTCTTGCGGGCTGGAGCTCATCAGTATTCCTGCTCATCTGACTCGGGTTTCTGGTCCCACCCCCAGGGTAGGGTGCTCAACAATTCCCATGTTTTTCTGATTTGAAACATCCGCTTCATCGCTCTTGGAAGGCAGCTCTTAAGTTTGTGTCGGACGGCCAGGGCCGACTCGAGTTACGCTCGTACGTCAGGGCGGGCTGGTGAATGGAGAGGCAGACACAACTTATTGGTTGCAAAAAACTTTACTCACACCGCTTGCAATCACGACGCAGGTGGTCCGGTCGTCAGAACAACCACACGAGTAGTTCCAGCTGGCGGGGCCCAAGCTAGTTAATCCGTCCGCAATTCGAAGCCGGCGGGAAAGGAGTACTTTGGGGTTGCGCTCGGCGACGGGAAGAAAGATCGATAGGTGATCAGTCTATCGATCGGCAGCCGCAAGTCAGATCACTTCAGAGGCACTCTGCAGCGTGCTCAAAGCTCTTCGACTTGGGCGGAAGTCGCGTGGAATTTTAAACAGCCAGCGAGCCAATTACTAGCCGCCACGTGTGAATAATTTAGCACTGGCCAATAGCGGGGCACAAATTTGCATCTGAATAGCGGGAACTCTTTGCACCCTGCATTTCTGTGCTGCAAAGAAGAAATGCACCCTGCAAAGGAAACTGCAAATTGGCGGGAACTCTCCTGCACGCAGGCTCTTAATTGCAGCAGAACGCTTTGCCGTGCAAAGGAGCTCTCATGTGGCCAGGAAATTTCATAGTGCCGAGGCACCAAAAATCACTGGGTTGTGACAAAGTTCAGCTGTGTTCTGTGTTGTTTTACTTGTAAAATGTGCATTTTGAAATGCACTTAAATATTGGTTTTCCTGCTAATTTGCATTTTTCAAAAAAAAAAAAGAAATTTCAATTTAGTTTCATTTTGAGTGCACAAATATAAGTAGTTCTTGAAAACTTGCTTGTGTCATTGTAAAATTTAGTTGTGCTTTGAATTCACATTCATTATTTTTATTTTGGATCTTATTAAAATAATCACTCTTGCTCTTGTCACAGTTCCATCTACTTCAGTTCAAAGAACGTGTGTTTTGTTTTGTCTTTTTTCTCATTTAAACTAAGCTTCTCCTTTGCTTTACACTTATTCCCTTTTCCGAAGTGACTCTTAGTTGCTACTGAAATGCTTGGTTGTGCTGTTATGATGTTGCAGTGTTTCTTGTTCCCATTTCCTCTGGATCCTACTGAGGAGGTGCAGAGTGATGTAGCATTGAGTGACTTGAGGAGAATTGTGCTTGGTCCAAGAGCTGGAGCTTTCCAGTCTCCTCCATGATCCAGAGAACAAAGCTGGAGAGCCTTGTGGGCACCCCAGGAAAGGTTTCATGTGATGGGGAGATGGAGATGATGCTGTGCGCCTTCCCATAGCATACCAGGGGCTCCTTTCCCTTCCCACAGATCTTACCTCTGGCTTTATTTCACAGGGTGGCTGAGTCGCATCTGGTCAAGTTACTTC